CGCCTCTCGGAGGCACTATCTGCTAGGAAACCCCGTTCGTGGCAGACAGACAACACAGCTGTTAGCCATTTCATGACCCAGCCGAAGCTGAATGGTCGACAGGCCAGGTGGCAGGAACTCCTAGCTGAATTCCACTTCAACTTGGAGTATCGCAGTGGAAAGACCAATCATGTTGCTGATGCGCTCAGTCGGAGAGCTGACCTAGCATCGGTGTGCCTACTCGCCACCCTAAGGGGGAGCGAGGTAGCCACATCCATCAAGGACCAAATACGGGATCTACTCATCAAGGATCCTGCTGCTCAGTATTTGGCTGATTTGGTAGGACAGGGCAAGACTCGCCAGTTCTACATGGAAGATGGGTTTCTGAAAGTAAAAGGGAACCGACTTTATGTTCCTAAAGGAGGAGATTTGCGGAGGACTCTTCTAACGGAATGTCATGATACTCTGTGGGCCGGCCATCCTGGTGAAGAACGCACCATGGCGTTACTTCGTCGTGCCTATTATTGGCCTCAAATGGCCGATGATGTTGCTCAGTATGTGAAGACTTGTCTAGTATGCCAGAAGAACAAGTCGGACCGCTTGACACAAGCGGGACTCTTGGAACCACTTGCTGTCCCAAAGAGACCTTGGGAAAGCGTTTCCCTGGATTTCATCACCGGATTGCCCAAGGTCGGAGATCTCACAACCATCTTGGTTGTGGTGGACCGGTTTTCTAAGTATGCCACCTTTATTGCAGCCCCACAATATATATCAGCAGAAGATACAGCTCGACTCTTCTTCTCTCATGTCGTCAAATATTGGGGCCTGCCCAAAGACATTGTTAGTGACCGCGACTCACGCTTCACTAGCAACTTTTGGACCCAACTCTTCAAGTGCCTTGGGTCAAAATTGAGTCACAGCTCAAGTTTTCATCCGCAATCTGATGGCCAGACGGAGCGGTTCAATGGTATGTTGGAGGAATACCTCCGCCACTTTGTAACCGAATCGCAGAAGAATTGGGTGAAGCTTCTGGATGCTGCTCAACTGTGTTTCAATTCACAAAAGAGCTCTAGTACCAACAAAAGCGCTTTTGAAATTGTTACCGGACAGCAACCGCTACTCCCACACACTGTGAATGCACCAAACATGGCTAAATCTCCTCGAGCTGCCAGCTTCTCAAAAGAGTGGAGGCGGAATTTGGAGATAGTGCGGAGCTATCTTGTCAAAGCCCAAAAGCGGATGAAGAGGCATGCTGATCAGAATCGTCGCTTTGTTGAATATCAAGTAGGAGACAAAGTGATGGTCAAAATTCCAAAGCGGTACTTATTTGCAGGGGTCCATGACCCTCGCCTATTGCAAAAATACATTGGACCCTTGTCCATTGAAAAGCGTATTGGGAAGGTTGCATACCGGGTGGATACCCCAGCTTGGTGGAAAATTCATCCTGTCTTCCATGTCAGTCTCCTGAAACCTTTTCGGGAAGACACGGAGGATCCTTCAAGGAGCCAGCTCACAATACCCAGTATTCGAGGTCCCAATTCAACCGGGAAAAGGCGTGTTGAAGCTATCCTTGATGACAGAGTGATTCATGCCTCAAGGAAAAATCACCAAGAGTTTTTGGTGAAATGGCAGGGCTGTGATGCAGAAGAGAATACTTGGGAGAGGGGAACAAACCTCAAAGCATACAAGAGCCTCATTGAAGATTATTTTGCAAGTAAGGCGCCGAGGACGTCGCCAACTCAGGTGGGGGAGAATGTCATGGGCGGCTTTCCAGCCATGCCCCATGACCCCTTGGGCGCGCCCCGTGCGTCCTAGCGAACCTCCCAATCGCCTAGCGCCACGGACGGCCCCGTGGTCTTGGCCGCGCCAAGTGACAAGTGCGCAGGTGCCTCTGTCGCCCCACCGATATCCCTCGCGAGCGCCAAGCCGCAGGCAGAAGCCAACAGCGCCGCGCGCGCAGACCGTGATGCCAAAGACACTGCTGCTGACAACGGACCTGCTGCTGCCTTATAGAAGACTAAGTCATTTTCATTGTAAATATAGAGTAGTTTTATTTCATGTACTTCCATTATGTTTCTCTAGCTTAATCAAGTCTAGTCCTGTAACTTAGGATTATTTTTTTTAAGTACTATTAGGGGGGATCAAGCAATCAAAACTTTCTAGCAAGCAAGCAATTCTCTGTACTGGTGTCTCTCCCCCTCGACACCGCGTTGCTTTTCTGTAATAGCTTTCATTAATGCAATCAAGCTTTCTTTCATTCTGAATTCTCATTTCTGTTCTCTCAATTGCT